CCAAGAACAGTAATAAGTAATTATAAGGGCTACATTCTGCATCATCCTTTAATGATTTCTATTAGAGCCAAACATTCCTTCCATATTGGATGTGGTCTTTCTGATATGGGTATTGTATGTATATTACATAGTTGAGCTTTGACTAGTGCATTGCCACTGGTGACGCCTCATACTCTGGATGACACAGATACACTTTGCTGTCAAAATAAACTGTAATTAAAGCCAGCAGGATATGCAATACAGCTTAAAACAACTCTGTAATATTATACTGATAACATGTGAGACAAATATCTGAAATGTACTGTTAAGCAGTTACAGCAGAAAGTATGTCATTATATGCCATGACAATGAAAGGATGCTTTATCATAACATATACTTTAGGGAGATGCTTCAGAAATTTAAACTGAAATTAAATAACAGTGTAAAGGTTTATTTTTTGTCTCTGTAAAAACGTTTTTTTACCTCTTTACATCCTGAATGGATTCTATCCAAATAATAGCAAGTCAGCTAATAAGGTTACAGGTTTTAATTGTGAGTAAATAAGATTTTTCATGCAGTCCTGCTGTATATTAAAACCCATTCCCTGATGCCTTTATAACACAGAAATATATCCTTTCTCAAATTTCACATTTAATTATTTCTTATGCAAGAAATCAAATTAGTTAAATGAGCCACTTGAGAAACTGAATACAGCAAAAGCGGAAGTGTACAGTCTGAGCTCTAAGTTTGTTTAGCTTAGGTACATCATATCAGTATGCTACACTGACAACCCAGACAGTTCATTATTTTGAATACGTTTTTCTCATCAGTTCTGGTTTTGCCAACAACTGTTTGCATTGTCAATATGATTTTATTCCATCTAACTAGATGCTTTTATGTCTGCATACTAAAAAGAAATACCTGCCTATACAGACTTCTCATTTCAGCCGGAATGTCAGCTGTTGCTGGCAGATTTTATTGGCTGTAGCCTTAACTCCGTGAGTTGATTGAAAACACCATCTCAGGCTTACTTTTCATATTTCCAGCTGACTTGTTTTCTTCAATATGCACTTGATGGCTACATAAAACTTCCTTAACAGTTGATGATGCATGTAGAAGACAGTGAAACAAAAAAAAAAGCACTGTTCTTCGTATTCGCAGGGAAGAAACGCTGGTCCTACTCTTATCCAACATTTCATTTAATCCCAACATATTTCGCTGCTTAGCAACTTGTTCTTGTTTTAAAACAGTATGTTTTCACTTTTAAAGAGAAATGGCTTATGGAATGAAGGGCAACCAATGTGTCTGGCAAACAACGAAATATCAGGTCACATTAGCGGGGTAAAACCAAATTCAACAAACAGCAGACAGATAGAGCTGCTAACGTTTAACTTTCTGTTAGCATCAAGATTGACTTCTACAAGTTGGGGAAATGCTACAAAGTGGATATTTTAATGATGAACAGGTCTTTTTGTAACCCGTAACCAAACAAACCAATGCAGTTAGTACCAATACACTTGTGGAAGTTGGAAATTGGAAGTAACAGCTGGTTACTAGTTAGCCAGGCATGCTAATAATTGCAGCTGAGCAGTTCACCCTATTCAATCTATTACAGTTTTGCTGTTGTGTCTTTGGTTTTAGGAGAGGTTATGGGAAAACTTCAAACTCTTTCTACAGCCCCATGCACAAGGCTTCAGCATGTGGGAAATCCAAAGCCTGACAGGCAATCACTTTTTTGAGGGGAACGTTAAATTGCCATTTCATTTTTCTTAATAACTGAAAAAGATTCAGACAAAATCTAGAGTCTTGGAACCGGACTACACCAGAAACTCACAAAAAGTTTTAATGTCAATCCACTTCACAGTGACCAGTAGTTTACCATCAATACTGTTTGTATCTAAAGCGACTGTTGGATTGTCTGTTCTAGTCTACTGTAGAAACATGGCGGCTACTTGTAGTGCCTCCACTGAAGGCAACCTGCAGCACCAGTTGTTATAAAGTTAATATTCGAAACAGGTTATTATACACTCATGAAAACATGGTTATGAATATTATATTCCATTTCTGACAATAGATCCTCCTAAATGTTACACATTGGATCTTTAAAAGACAAAAACCCAACAAATATGTCACCTGTGTGCATGTACATGAGCACATGAATAACAGAAAGGTGTTGGGAATTATGGTACAGGTACAAAGTACAGGTTTTACAGGTTTTTTAGGCTCATTACAGCAACTGTACATGGTAGGTAGCATGTTAGATTAATCTTTTTATAAAAACACAACTTGAGGGAGAAAATTTCTTCATTTTCTTTCTTTTACTCTCTGTCACTCTCTTGGACTTGTGAGCATTTAACTTCAAGAACAAAGTGCAGCTGATATTAACTCACACGGAGCACAAACCTTTGGGAATAATTACTTCTCGGGCACAGGAGTGGAGTTATCATAGCCTGCGTGAAATCCAAATTACAGGGCAGATTTAAGGCCTGTGTGTGTGGTGTTGTGTCATATGTCTGTGCACCCTATGCCAGTGCGAGAGAGCACTCAGGATTTATGACCTTTACAGTTGCTGCGTGTGGAGATAAAGCTAACAAAAGGGTAGAATGGAGAGGCAGGCGCAGGTCATATTGGATATTGCGGTGGCTGGAGGTGGACAGTCCTCCACTTTCTCCTCTAGACTAGTGATAAGCTCCACACAGCATCCCTTATCTGTGGAAATATACTATTTCTCCTTGTTAGTACCAAAGCTATATTGCTGTGCTGGGAAATTCTCTTTTATTTCAACATGTCAACATCTGAGATTAGAGGATTTTCCTTATAAACAAAGCTTAATTAAAATGGGACTGGATTTGTGTTTTGATGGGACATTTGAGCATTAGAAACCTCCCTGCATAACTGCTGAACACTCATAAATTTGCTGATACCATCCATACCTATCGAAGGAGCCTCCAGGGGTATGTGCCAATGTAAGTGCTTTATATGGGCTAATATAAGCTTGAGACGACACTTGCATTTAAATAGGTTTTCACACATTCACATGTTTCTGTTCTGTTGGTGTGCAGAGTAACTGGGATTGTGTTCCTGTCATCAACACCCACTCAAGGGAGACGAAATTAGCTCCTGAGTCTGTGACATGCATCAATAATGTCATACTCCTGCATGCCACACACATGCAGTGTGCGCATGCATATTTGTGGCCTATTTCAGCAGGTGTGTTTATGTGAAGGTGTTATCAAGTAAACATCAATAAAATAATATAGCTTATATTTCAATATATATTCATTTTATTTCTGTGAACAAATAAGACCATTACACTGACATCCCCGAGCTGCAGTTCATGTTTAAAGCTCAGGTTGCTTTATTCTGCTTTAGAGTACTCAAAGGAATCATTTGACATGGAATATATATATATATATACCAGTCGGATGCCCATTTTGTTTTAATTGATACACTAACTTTCCTACTTCAACCAAATGTAAAATTTTTGTTTTCTTTGAATATCTGTCTTCTTCTGTGCAAATTGAATGTATAAATGTATACAAATTTGGATAATGGATTAATAGTGGTTCTCCTGACTGGAGGAAGAGCAGAGATGGAGCTCTATTTTGTGCAAATGAATGTCCCACTGCTTTCTAGATCAACATAGTCATGTATGAGGATGGAGCCATATTAAAATAGACATATTCTGATGGAATTGTGAATGCTTTGAACATACACATGGACAGGCAGTAAGTTAATCATGCTTCAGCATTAGTTTAAGAGGTTTGTATGGATGTTTACTTTGATGGGTCAAGACTATTTTTCTGCTTTGAAAATTTGTCACTGTGTGTTAGTATTTATTGTAAATGCCACAATCTGAGCTGACTGCAGCCTCAGTTCTTTGTTTTATATTCAAAAAGTACATTTAGAACAAAAAGACCTCTAAATCCAACCAAAAATCAGTCAGCCAGTGTACCCCATCAATTACTGTCTCAGTGTTTGCTCTGTTTGTACGTTTAGGGTGGAGTATGAGCTCAATTTGACAGTGAAATATTGATAATAGGCCTTTTAAAGACATGTTGACAAGTCACAGTAGGAAAAGCACAGGCATGCTTACAATGAAACAAATGATGGCTGAATTCCATTTCTCTGCTTCAGTTTCAGGGTCCTGGTATTGTGCATGCTGGCTCACTGTCACACTACTGGGACACTTGAATAGAACCAATAATAATAAGAAGCCATTGTTATTGTTATTAGTAACTGTCTTAGTCAAAATGTGTGCTGTGAATAAAGCCTATTAAAATCATAGCTTGAAGAATCTTTGTGTTTCTAAACCCCCATTTGCACAGATCCCTTGCGGCTTAATGAAATGAGGATTTCACAGGAACTTCAGGATCAGCAATAGGCAAAACTTAAGGTTTTGCTAAAAATGTTTTAACCACTTTTCTTTATAGAATCCACCACTGCCTCGTTTTTTTGACAGACTAAAAATAAAAATGATGTGTCCAGGAAAAAGAAAAGGAAGTTCAAACACCAGATCTGAACAGAAAATTTCCAGAGTTTCACTGAGTTAATTTTATCAGGAGACCACTGTCTTCTCAAAATTCTGGTTAGTGTAATTTTAGCAACTTCACAGATGATGTCAGAAATTACCACAAATCAGACACCCCCAGGACATTTTCTCTCATGCAAATACGTCTTCAGAGACACCAAACTGTGTGTCAATACACACATCTGTATTTCTTTGTGCCCCCTTGAGCTCACTAAACTCATCCTTGCCTCCATAGTTTTAACCCCAACCTGTGTCAGAACGTCTCCTTTCCATGCTGATGGCATCTTTGCCCCTACGTGAGTCCAGGTTTATTTTTTCCAGTGGGTCAGGTGACAGGGGCAGCTGGATTGTTGGCTATTTCCCCTCATCATGTGATAGGTTAGTGGTGTCATGGGTACTGTTTCCAAGGAGCAGGCTTACTGACAAGTGGAGTGACGTTAGAGAGGCAGTGGACCTAGCCGTATCTATTAATAGGTGAGTGCTAAAAGTGTGTGTATGTGTGTGTGTTGGAAAGAGTTTGCCCATTTGTGAGTGTGCCTGCAGTTAGAATGCTAGCCTTTTAAAAGCTAAGTTGAGATAAGCAGAGACAGAGAACAACCGAAGGAAAAGATATAGATGTCTTTGTCTTTCTACAGCTGAGTTTGAGTGACAGATGTGTGTGGGAAAATGCACAAACGCTGAAACATAAGGCGAGGGGATAAATTGGAAATAATCATAATTGTATTCATTGTCCGTGGAAGTTTTTAGCGGCATCAGAGGAGCTGGAGGAGTTGCAGGACACCTTTAACAAACAAGGAGGTGAGGCTCAGTAAACAGCAGAGTCTATTCTTGTACTCTTTTCTCACAATAACAGACAATCCCACACACACATGAACCTGTGCACACCTATTGCCAATTAACTGTGTTAGGTTGATCACACATTTCCAGGAAGCTTAGTGCTGAGAGGTTATTTCAGGTAACTTCAGTAACCATTATGTGCTCCTCTCTCTCTCTCTCCCTTCTATGTGTTCTTGCACATGCATGAATGGACACACCGGACAGAGCAGACACACTCCTCCTTGCATCCACTTCTGACTCTATTAAGAGTTCCCATGGACTCCAATGTGAGGGTCCTCCAGAGAGGAGCTGCTGTGTGTTGTGTCTACAAAAGCAGGATGGAGGAGGCGGAGGACAGGCGTGACAATGTAAAAACACTCACCAAGTAGCTTCAACTGAGACGTCACATATCCAGGAGACCACATCTGAGATTTTTCTACTAAAATATAATAGATAGTAGAAGATGATTATAATAACACCATGTCATTTTTGATCCAATATGGACTATTCCAACTAAATGACAACAGCAGGAACCAAGAATTCAGCCAGAGGAGCAATGTTAAAGGGCCAGTGTGTAACATTTAGGAAGCTCAATTGGCAGAAATGGAATATAGTATTTAGTATGTGTTCATTAGTGTATAATCCTGAAAATATGTGTTGTTGTGTGGAACGAGCTGTTTTTAAGTACAAATGCCACGGGTCGCCTTACGTGAAGGCTGCCCTGTTGAACTGCCATGTTTCTACAGTAGCCTAGAAGGGACATACCACCACTCGCTCATGATTTGTTAAAACCAATGTGCTGGTAAGCGTATGCTGCTGAAAACTTTAATATAAAAGCATTAAATACTGGTAATGCTAACAGTATTCAGACAACTCCGGACAAATAAAACAAAAACTATGGAAAAAGCTGGATGGACTTACCTTTAATTCAGTACACTGCAGTTGGTGTAGCCATTTTTAAAGAAATGGTTTGATACTAATTTGTTTTCCTTTCAAAAGTTAGATGAGAAGATTGATATCACTCTTCAGTTTCTACGGTGAGCTACAGTCAGCACCCAGTTAGCTTAGCTTAGCTCTACTGGTGGCCTCTGAGCACCTACATTTGTTCTTATGTTTTATTAATTCAGCCATTTTTTGAATGTGTGGCACAAGCCCACCCAGGCCCACCCATCTCTATATGCCATGTTTTCTTTCTTTTCAATAATAGCTAGGCTACATTGTGCAACCCTTACAGAACACCATTGATCATATGAGCTAAAAGGAAATTCTGAAAATGTTGTGATAGTATAACTATAAGATAGAAATAAGTAGTACATTGTGTATTAAAAGCATCCTTGAGTGTGTCTTTCATAGAGAAATAGAGAGATTTGCATCACTACCCATGAAGAGTCCAATGCCATATGTTGGAGAGAGGTAGCTTATGGAGCTTTATTGAGCACATGTTTGTTTCTCTTGTAATCCTTTTTTATATATCTGAATATGGCATGGATTTTGTTGCATTAGATTTTGTCTCCCAAATTGTTTGTTTTGCTACAAAACCTCCAATTACCTAGCTTGAAATTCTGTTGCATATGGTGCTGATGGTGCCATATGCTAACAGCGCTAAACATTGTGCTTTGTAGAAAGGTGATAATAAATTCAGTAGCTTAAATCAGTTCAGTTTTGCAGTCTTTCGAATGTAGTTGTTGTTTTTTGTGTTTGAAACAGTTGTTCTCCACTCTTCCACAACTGCTTTTGGCTGCCACTGTCCGACCCTCACAGCGGCCATTGTAATGGTTCATTTCTTCTGGGGACACATGGCGACTTGCTGACGGACAGTAGGACTACATCTGCTGTGGGCTGTGTTATTGTGATCTGCCCTTTTTGAAATGGGATTTTGAGATTGTAGTGTACATTTAGGACTATGACTCAGGAGCAACATCTTGGACCTTCTGGTTACTGCATATGTGGTAACAGCATGGCACAGGCAAAAATACATTAATGTGCATTGCTCACATGTCTGTGTATTCAGCTTATAGTCACATGCTTCCAGTCTGTCAGTGGAAACACACACGCGAGAGGAAACACAGACAACTGTATCTGTGTGCTAACCCTGGGCTTTCTAGCACCTGCTGTGTTTCATATTCAGTCAGTATTCTAATCAGCTGCGTGGTCTCCTAACCGGGGAAAACAACCATGAGAATAGAACATCTATTTACAACCTGAGCCCCGCCGTCCAATTAATCACCAGGCAGCCAACAGGCCTACTAAAATTAAAAAGAGCAACAGCTGTCACAGCAAATACAACGCGAGAGGGAGAGGAGTTAGATGAGAGAGGAAATGTGAAGAGGGAACTGTGAGTGTGTTAAAGTAAATGTAAGACTGAAGAGGAAGAGCAGAGGAGGAGGAGGAACACAGGCAGATAAACGTGATACACACTGTGACCTTTACCCTCAGGTGAATTCATCAACAAGGGGTCAACACAAGTGCCCATCTATTTTTGGACACTGGCAGAGGCACACACGGACATGTGTGATGTCCTCCACCTCCAGTAAACACACACTCTTTTACATGCAAAGCCCTGCACTCATGCACACACACACACACACACACACACAAACACTTAGAGCCCCTGAGGCTGGCATTGATTTAGCCCTCAGGGTCCAAACTAATTTGCTCACAATATAACACAGTATCTCTCAGCAAACTCCTCTGGACAACTGTCTAAATATTCACCCTGCTGTAAGGCACAGCCGAGATATAATGAGATATTTGTTTCTGTGGATGTGAGTGTGTGTACATGCACGGTTGTAAGAATGAATTTGTGTATTTGTTTATGCTCTTTTTCACAATCTGCCTGAGACCAGGACTTTTAGAATTACGAATTATAAATTAATCTGATTGCATATGTATGTTTTCCAGAATGTAATATTGCTTATTTATTCATTGATGATTATTGATGATTTTTAGTCCTTATGAACCTGGGGTTAATAACACATGTTTACCGAGTTGTTTTCCTGTTTTCCCAAGATGGCGCCCACCTGTATA